TGCGAGCCGTACAGGACATCTGACCAGTAATGTGGTCTTGGCGACCTTGTTAGCGCGATATGTCATGTGACGTGTCGTACCCACTTCCCCCAACCACTACCACGGCGCGAAATCTCAGTTTGGGACACATACCAGCATACACGATGGTGGATAAACTTGCTGAAAGAATGTTCTAGCTTCCCCATTTATAATCGAGTCCTATTTGAACAATTCTGAACCCTACTTAAAATAGTCAATTTCTTTCCATCTACTTTCAGTAGATGGACGCCCTTATAATTACGTCTGTATCATTTTTCTTCAATCATATGCCTCTGGGACATTTTAAGACACTTAAATTCTGTAATGAGAAATCATCTTGCATTGATTAAGGAATACAATCGAGGAAGTTATGTCCGAAATCTTGCATGCTCATCGTGATTGCAGTGCGAATGACGTCCGTTTAGAATGTTGAGACGTCACACTACTTACGAGTAGCGAAACTAAATACACAAAAAAACCCTCGTCACGAACATCCTGGGGAGGGACACCAGAGCGATCACTAGGCGGAACAGTTTACAATGTGTTACGAGAAGCACCAGGAGGCACCCACCAATACCACGCACAATACAGTTGCATCGTATTACTGCTGCTTGGGAGGCTTCATTATCGTCGTATCAGTGCGAGTGCCACAATCGTGTCAAGGGAGCAGGCGGGATTGGACAAGACACGAATTTCGACGAAGTTGGTCACTGAATGTGGTCATTTTCCAAATTTTTGACTAAAGAACACTCCTAACCCGCATCATCCGTAAGATACGTTCTTCTGAGTGCATAAAGTCTGCCATTTGTTCCAAATGTACATAGACAGCGACCAGGTTGTTTGCTGTGCTGNGCTTGGTTTATGTGATTGTTCCTCTTGGCTAGTACATCATGAACCTACATGGTACTAGAAATCACGTGAACTTTAGTGAAAGAAGAAAGGGAATAGGGCTTGATTGAGACAAACACAGGTCAATGGGTTAAGGAATCAAGTAAGTGATGTTATTGTCAGACAAGGTTGTGGAACCAGGTTTTTCGCATGCCATCTCAAGTTCAGAAGCAGCACAAGTTCCTTTTGGACACCGACTTGTGGTTCCAGCAGTCGGATTACAACCGCCTCTGTGATGGGTTCAACGGTACCCGTTATATGGTCTCCAAGGCTTTCTCTTTGTCGTGAGTGGTTTCGGCCAAGTATGAGCCTGGTTTCTTTCAACTACCACTCATCGACACGAGATTATGTTCTCGCATTCTGTTCAAAAAACGCCCTGTCGTATGACCAGCGTGTGGTGTTCGTCACGAGCATACAAATGAGTACACACAAAAGCTGGTGGTAGAGTGTGGCAATGTCCTTCGAACGGATGGTGGGGGTGGAATTGGGGCTTAAGTACGGGTTAGTAGCCATGTATTTTGCATCAACAGTTTCTAAGCCTTCAGATAACTAGTTCAGCAACAGAATCACCTTTGAGTTGAAGCCATCTGTGGATGGGCTTCTTCCAAACTGAACTCGGGCTTTACAGAATTTCGTCCTTAGTACGAGCCGTCCAGGACATCTGACCAGTAATGTGGTTTTGGTGACCTTGTTAGCGCAGCATGTCATGTGACGTGTCGTACCCACTTCTCCCAACCACTACCATGGCGCGAAATCTCAGTTTGGGACACATACCAGCATACACGATGGTGGATAAACTTGCTGAAAGAATGTTCTAGCTTCCCCATTTATAATCGAGTCCTATTTGAACAATTCTGAACCCTACTTAAAATAGTCAATTTCTTTCCATCTACTTTCAGTAGATGGACGCCCTTATAATTACGTCTGTATCATTTTTCTTCAATCATATGCCTCTGGGACATTTTAAGACACTTAAATTCTGTAATGAGAAATCATCTTGCATTGATTAAGGAATACAATCGAGGAAGTTATGTCCGAAATCTGTTGCGTGCTCATCGTGGCTGCAGTGCGAATGACGTCCGTTTAGAATGTTGAGACGTCACACTACTTATGAGTAGCAAAATTAAATACGCAAAAAAGCTTGCCACGAACTTCTCTGGGGAGAGGCACCCGAGCGATCACTATGTCGAACACTACGTGTTACGAGAAGCACCCACCAATACCACACACAACACAGTTGCATTGTAGTACTGCTGCTTGTGAGGCTTCATTATCGTCGTATCAGTGCGAGTGCCACAATCGTGTCAAGGGAGCAGGCGGGATTGGACAGACACGAATATTCGACGAAGTTGGTCACTGAATGTGGTCATTTTCCAAATTTTTGACTAAAGAACACTCCTAACCCGCATCATCCGTAAGATACGTTCTTCTGAGTGCATAAAGTCTGCCATTTGTTCCAAATGTACATAGACAGCGACCAGGTTGTTTGCTGTGCTGGGCTGTGCATTTTGAATCGTCAGTGCGCATTCGTCAAATCGTACGGCTGACTTCTTCACCACTTAACAACGCTCCGAAAAGAAACAAACTACTTCTACTGCTCCAGCTAGTCATAACCAGAAATGGTAGCACTGTGTTGAGAGAGAGAGAGACTCGCTGAAATAAAAGATTACATGTCGATGTCACTTCATCAGATTCTCTAATGTTGCAAGTAAATTGTTAACATCAGCATACCGTGACGAATAATTTCCGAGACTCACGAGCCACAGCATGGGAAATGGCCCCGCAAGGATACTAGAGAACGAAATACAATTCTCCGGTATTTCATTATGTGATAGCTAACGATAAACAAGCGAAGGGGAAGTCGGAAAGTCAATTCCTTCAATTCAGCGCAGTGGAAATCGATGGTTGCTTTATTGGGACTCGCATCTGCATTTTCGAATGTAGGTATCAGTTCGAAAGGCTAATCAGCCTGAAACCTCCATTCGCTAGTAGTCTCGTGGCAAACACTCCGCTGAGTAGCCGTTTTATCTGTAGTCAGTGAAGCGCCAAGAAACTCATCAACAAATCTCACAGGACGTTGATCTTCCGTCATCCTGTATCCACGTCTCTCAAAACCAACCAGCTGATTGCGGTCCAAATTCCGCTACAGTAAATCAGGAGTTAGTAAGGAGTCACATGGTCCGTGGCGGTAAATATGAAACATACATTCAGCTGATTACAAGCAAAATATTAACGCATAAATGACTCAAACATTTGTATCCCATCCGAAGTGCGCAGTTCTTTGTACGACTGATAAGGACCAGAGATTTCACCACCGGGATCTACCCACTAAAGCGAGTAGAAGGTTGGGTAAAGTAGTGATAACAGCGAGCGGGCCGCACGGCAAAATGTGGTTCCAGGAACTCAATTTGTCCTTAACTACGTGCTGCTTTATATTACGAATTACTCGGTTCTCCGCTTGCACTATTCAAGATACGAACATCGTCCTCTTTACAGCACAAAATGACCGCTTCTGGGCAGAAAAATTCTAGTATTCTCATATTGTAACAACTACTTATTAACGTCAGTAGGGTACGGTATCCCCCCTCCTCTTAACCTTGCGCCGGGTTGCATTTGATGTGTTCACCTACTAAGTATGTACTTAATTAGGCGGCAAAATTGAACAGAAGCGCTAGTCGTACAAAGTTGTGCTGTTGATAGGTTTTTCTCACTGTGCAATCATTCCTCCTAATTTTGCTCACATGTACAGTATGTCTACAGGCTAATATTTGATGCCGTCAGGTTTTTTTCGGTCACTGAATACTTTGCTTTGAGAAGTTTTGGACCCGGCTCGTCAACCGGAGACGATTGAACACACCCTAAATTCTTTCTTCTACTTGGAAAGACGCAAGCCAAAATCGTCGCACCCTCAGTTATTTGGTTTATTCTTTCACCAGGGCTTCGCAGCAAAACTCCAACTTCGAGTACCGTTGGGAAAACATTTACCCTTAGCGGTGGGATTAGATGCAGTGAACCACTCACTGAATGCGACAGGCGTTCAGACTCGAGGTCCAAAAACCAGCACACACTCTGAACGATCCGTAGTTGAAGAGCCGGACGCATCTTACGTTCCTATAATTTTCCAAAATGCTGCATTGCATTTCCCCGGACCAATCCTAGATCTATCCGCTAGCACCCATCATTTTATAACCGACGCAACCACCTCAGCCCAACCTGCTAGAGGAGCAATATCTGAGACTCATTTCCCAACCCTGCGCGACTCACGTAGGCTTAAACTGGCCACTGTGTTTCCCACACCTCGCGTCCCATTCGTACTCGTATTGTCAGGGGGCAACTTCGGCTGTGCACACGAAGGCGCTGTAGCTATTTTGACAAAGAACAATGGATTACGGCGCCCAGTATTCGCACAATCGAACTGACTTTTCGAAAGCTAAGACGTGTCCCTGATGCACTGAACGAGACAGGAAATTGAGTTCAGAGTACGAGTCCAAGCTTTTGAGCCCCATTTAGGAATCCCAGGGTCTCAGCGATGCTGGGAAATTATTCCACCAGACGTTTTCCGCCGAAGGAATGATTGCATCAGTGGACAATGGTGAGATTGAAAATTGTGACCGTAGATTAGTTGGTTTTTGGTTTGAGTACATTAGCAACAAACTGCAACATTTTGGCGCAAAAAGTTTTATTCCAATCGCAAAGATTTTGCAGATTAGAGCATTGTGCAGCCAATGGGCCCCATGGATTACCAAGTCCCCTTTTAACCCTGCTGGGTTTTGATGCTCAAGCCCTCATCGAATGGTATGAGGGTAACCAGCATGCCATGGATAAGCCTCTCAAACTGCACGTCGCACAGCTCCCACCTTTCTAAGCTGTGAGCACACCATGGTTTCTCAAACAGTGTATGCTAGTCACATGATTCAGAGGCGACGAGACTAAGCGCGAAGTGATGGCGACCACAATGCCCCGCGGAGATCAGGGGTACACTGATTTGCTGCTTGAGGGAGAGTCAGACACATAGGATCCGAAGCGTTACTGAAACACCCCATCACAATCACAGATCCAAAACTCAAAAAAAATAATTTATCATAATTGTCAAAGGGACATATACCGTTTTGGAAAGAAGATGCATGACGAGGAGAGTGAATACAAAAGTAGAGCGACGGCAAAGAACAATTCATCTGGAGACGAAAGGTGTCACTCTAGGTCCATAAACCATTCGGTGAGGCTGTGTGCAGAATCTGGTGAGTGGACATCGGTTTTTGTCTCACTATCCTTCGAGGGAGGCTGTTCGGGATTTTTGGAGTCGGTACCCGCAGACGTAGTTGGTGGCACCACCACACCGGGTTGCTTCTTCGCGGTGGTCTGTTGCTTGTGAAAATCACTCATCAACTGCACCTACGAAATGAAGAGAAGGAAGAATAGGTACACAAATAATAGGACAGTACGACTTCGAACAAGTGGACAAGCAGCGGGAGTTAGCCCGATATACCGTGGTTCCGAGTACCTGTAACTTTACAGTCGGGGTACAATCCCAAGCGAGAGTACACTGATGACGTACAGTGACGAAACGGTCAGTTTACAATGAAATGCGTTATGGTCTCATTAAGTAGTATATCAACTTAGGGAGGTCTTTCAACAGAGTTTCTTTTTACAATGTCGATTTGCGGATTTTCAACAACAAAAAATAAAGTATCTACGGGGGACTTGGACTTGAGGAATAGATTCTCTCTAGTCCTCAGCATTGACCGGATCATCGACAGATGTAGTTTGGCAAACCGGGAGAAGGGACACGTACACGCTCTCGTGTTTGTTTTGTCCTTAACGTGGCAATTTACGCGAGGGTTCGTGTGTACACACCTGGCGACGATATGTTCTTGTTGACCGAGGTACAACTACTGTGTCGGTCCTTGGATCCCTACTCCGCTCAATACGTTATATCAAAACGCACGGTAGCTTAAGACAGCGCATTATGGAGACAAAGGAAGTTATTACAACCATATTTATATGGTCACCACACAAGGTCTTGCTAGAATCTTCAAAGAGTGACGAGTTCCTCCTCAACTCACTTGTTCAGGTGGGCGCTGTGACTGTTTTGACTTTTTCGTACAGAATTCAGGGCCCATCGAATGAACAAACTCGTCATTAGTTTAGAAGCTACATGCAACAGTTCCAGTTCGCCTCTCAGCTTCCCTGGTCTTGCCATCATGAGATCTCTGTGGGAAGTTTGTGTGGTGGATTCCGTAAAACAAATTGATATGACCGAGTGATTGGAATTCCTGGTTGGTAGAAACGTTGGAATATTGCATCTTAGGTCTGCAAGGCACGCTACTGCACAGTTGCCCTCAATACAACACCGACTATGGAAGACAGCAGATCACCACGCGGGTGGCATGGCAGCTATGAGCCAAAAGGATGTCATAGGTGAAAGATTGCTGTTATTATCACTACTACTATGATTAAAAACAGATGGTCGTACCTAACTTCCTTGTTTTGAACAAAAAGACCAAAGGTCACGGTAACTAGTTCACCTTGGAACACCAAAATGGAGAGGTGTGACGCTGGAGTTCACTGTGACAGCTTCTATAAATATATAAAAGTCGTAGGTTGAGCGAATAAGACATTGTTGGGGGATAGGGTTGCAAGAAGTAGTGATTTTTTCAACTAAAATAAAATCGTTCAGCTGTAGCACCCTTTCTGTGCCTAGCTGCCATGCCACACGAAGGAGGCACGAGGGCTGGGATACTGTCAGGTTGCCCAAGCCTAGACAGGGGAAGTCGAGAGGCAGAGGTCGGGTTCGAAACACGGATCTTCCGGTCCGTAGACTCGCACTAACCACTTGGAGCATTTCGCCCCGATTGTTTCAACTGAGCCACGCCATCCTTCTCAACTCTTTGTTTCTTTCTAGCCATGCTACCTGAAGCATGCACGAAGTCTGGGATACTGCCAGGTTGCCCAAGCCTTGGCCGAGCAGTCAAGATGCAGAGGTTGGATCGGAACCACAAACGTTCCGGTCAGTAAATTCGTGGTCACACAACTGGGCTAACTTGGGTCTATGGCTAACAATAAACGGTCCTAGAAGGGAATTCTGTCGTAGGTGAACACAATTTTGTTATATTATCAGTTACATTCGGAAGTAACCAGCAAATGAGTGACTGGAAGGAAACTGTATAAAATGATTATAAAGTTGTCCACCTACGCGTAGACGAGGGAAACTTAATTAGATTCTCAACAGATGACATATGATTCTATCCACCGTCGTGAACAGCTCGGAGTTCGAAAGAACACAAACCAAAACTCCTAGCTGATCGGACTAATATTAACTGAAACACGAAGTAATGACAAGTATCAACAACGTGAGATTAAAAATTGGAGACTAATCAGTTATTGAATGGTCAGTAATCCAGCCGAGATGGCCCAAGTAGTTAGAGCGCGAATTTACTGACTGGAAGGTCTGTGGTCGAACCCGACCTATGCCTCTCGACATCCCCTGTCCGGGCCTGGGCAACCTGGCAGTATCCCAGCCCTCGTGCAACCTTCGGGTGGCATGGCAGCTAGGCACCGAAAGGGTGCTACAGCTGAACGATTATTATTATTATTAGTAGTAATCCAGCCCAAACGCTGTTAATCTGCAGAGCCAACACACCAAAGAGTGGATGGTGAGAATGGACATAGGTCAAATCATGAGTAATGAAATGTGTGATAAGAGGTGAAACTGCACTTAACCCCCAGCTTCTGTATAGACAAAAGGACTCACCAATTGTGGATTGCGACGAACAAAACAAAGCACGTCATCCATATTGATAGTGGTTCTTTTCGCGTGTTTCGCAAACGTTTCTAAATCCGTGGCCAACACCTGATGGAATCGGAAAAGTAGCTCCGTAGCCAGACAGACAATTTCCAAATCGATAGTACAGTTCTGGGCTTTAGCTACCTCTTCGGCAATTTTTGTGCATTTATAATGCAATTCAGCCTTGTGCTCCTGGCGAAAGTCGAAGGAAAAACGGTAATAAAACTCTAAATTTGAAAAAACAATCAATTTTTCGATTCATCGATGAGCTGATTCGATAGATTTGGCGAAAAAGCATTCCGAGATAACTCACCACTTTGGGTTAGCCAGCCAAGATTATGAACTTTGCACTTCGAACCGATTTCTCCTCAATCACTGCCCAGAGCATCCTCTCACTGGGAATGGAATTTACTGTGCGACAGCACCAACTCTGTTCTGTTAGGAACAGCTGGTAAGAGGTACAAGATTTGAATGAAATTTCGAGATAGATAGTTTATTCAAACATATCCTGGGGACAGACCGCTCAGCTGGTGATCCCAATGTACCTGGAATCGCAGTTGACGAAGAAAACGGGTGAGTCCGAAAGTCAAAGGGTGCGTGCGAACGGTTGAGTTCATACTGGATAGCAAAAGTTCATTTGACCCACAGCTAATGCGTAGCTAACCATCCATAGGTATAACAGAGGGGCTGGTAGGACAGNNNNTTCAGCTGTAGCACCCTTTCGGTGCCTAGCTGGTAGGACAGAGTAGTATTCCCCGTTATTCTAGGTACGCTACCTAGATCCCTTTACGTGTCTCAATTTCAATCCATGAAATGGTTGGACCGAAATGAGTGTCTATGGAAACCCAAATGTAAGTCAAGTCGATGTCAAGTTGAGATGTTCTGAGGGTTATGAAACTCTTCGAGTTTTATTCAAGAGGTCAAACATTCCTTGAGACAGCTTGAAACTTAATTCGTGAGATCCGACAAAAACCAGGATGATTTTCAACAGCGAAGTAACTATATCGGTGTCACCATGGGTACCATCACCAGATAGCTAATTAGACACGAATGCCACTGAAGTCACAAACAGGACTGAACACGAGGTGTGGCTGAAGCCATGATCAATTACGAGCCACAGAGCAAAAATACATCAAAGGTTAATGAACTTTTGGAAGAGCGGGTGCAGATCAGTATAATCCCAAGGCATATTACCGTTCTTTGTCCCAAAACAGCCAAGACCGTGGGACAACACGTATGTTGCGCAAGATGGCGAGTGGCTCAGTGGTTAGAGCGCGCATTTACTGACCGAAAGGTCCGTGGTTCAAACCCGACATCTGCCTCCCCTATCTAGGCTTGGGCAACCTGGTAGTATCCCATCCATCGTGCTTCCTTCTGGTGGCATGGCGGCCAGGCACCGAAAGGGTGTTACAGCTGAACGCTTACTATATTATTAGGTTGCGCAAATAACATAAAAGTAAGCTCAAATGTGGTTATTTTTGCATAGGATCGTCTGGTAGCTTCTTGTCGTTTTCTTGAGGCGTAAGTTGGTTCTCGGTGCACGCGAGGTCCAGGGTTAGCGGTGTGGAAACACAGAGGTCGATGAATACATTCAACAGTCGTTGGCTTGTTTCTGGAGCTGGGCAATTTGATTGCAAACGTTTCATCACCAGTGCGTTATTGGAGAGCGTAGTGGTGGGTTGGTGGTTGGCACAACCACTAGTGGCAATAAACCACTGATAGAGCATGATCACAAACTGTCAGCTCCCTAAAGGTCGGGGGCGGATCACTGAATGCAATCATCAGCATCCTCGTCGTTCTCATCATAGACAGAAATACGCCAGCAGTGTGCAATGACGGTTGCTTGCGGCACAGACATAGGCAGAGAAGCCCAGTAAAGTGAGGACTGGAACTTAGCACACAAAAACCTGATTCCCTCATAGAAGTTGATCCAAAATAAACAAGACGGACAACACTACTCAAGAGATTGCTGAAAATTTTTCGACAGCCCACGACGGGTTTCGTCCTTCTTTGAGCTCATCAATTAAGCGCAGTCCCCATCAACCTTATGTCCTACTTGAACCGAAATTGGATAGATCTCGGTAAATAGGCTCAGTTGCATACTAATTTGGTTTTGACAGGAGACTCACTGAACCCAGGTCAAGAAAACTACTTTCACGTGAGACTATGGGTGAAATGAACATACCCTAGCGTTACGTAATCAGCGGGACTGGCCTAGCACTGCTTGCGACGTGGTAATCGCCCAAAAGCAGAGAAATGGAGCTAGACGCTGAGGGTGTAGATCGAAGCTCAACCTCAATTCGTCAATATCTCGTCTTCACATCCTAAATCATCGCGACTTGAGCATGGTGCGTGAGTGTAGCGAAGCTTGGCGAACTAGAGAGGTAACGATCGTTCAAATGCCCAGTTGTATAACTTAGTGATGGGTGGCTCGCTTCCCAAACACAGAACGCACATTCTAATCGCCGTATGTAACGGAAGATAGAGTGGGGATAAGAAGTGGCGAAATGAACTGTCTCGCATCTACACGGGACATAACGTCGGATGACCTTCGTGTCAGAAGTGTTTGCAAGCATGTATTCCCGAAAGTACTCGCAAGAAACGTTGCGACCAAGAGTTGGTAGAGTAGCAATAGACTTTGGGCTTGAACACAGCCCATTCTGACGAACAATACACGGTCAATCTAGAAATTATTGATAAGTAGAGCCTCTAAAGACGTTAATGTCATTCTGTAGAGGAAAATGTTGGTAGCTCATGTAGCGTTGGCTTGTTCGGGACAACCACCAACCTACCGCTACGCACAACTACGCTCCCAATAACGCACTGATGATGTTACCTCGATTGGTGATGAAACGTTTGCAATCAAACTGCCCAGCTCAGCGAACAAGCCAACGACCATGGGTCGATCCAAGTAACTACAAATCGTTCAACCTGTTATCGTCTCGTATCCATTGTGCACACAACTTCCCTAATCAACCTCAGATTGCTGAATCAACTTTCGGTGTACACCACATATGCAATTAATAGGGAAATTCCGAGAAAGTCGAGTGAAACCGGTTTGATTATGATTGGCCCATTACATAGAATCTGTGCCTGATCCATACCCGACTCACTGCAATGCCGTTCAGCCAATGCAAAGTGTCCCCGCTCTGGGCGGTTCATCTCCCCCTATGTGGTGAGTAAAAATCGTTTACAAACTCTATTTTTCATTTGAGTTTCAAATATCTTCCTTGCTCTCAGGATAGTTGCAGCTGCGTTGAGTGGTCTTCGATTCACATGAAGAACTATAAACTGGGTCCGAAGTGGGAGTCCCTGTTCGAAAGTTTGATAGGGAATCTAGAACCCAGGTCAAGAAAACTACTTTCACGTGAGACTATGGGTGAAATGAACATACCCAAGCGTTACGTAATCAGCGGGACTGGCCTAGCACTGCTTGCGACGTGGTAATCGCCCAAAAGCAGAGAAATGGAGCTAGACGCTGAGGGTGTAGATCGAAGCTCAACCTCAATTCGTCAATATCTCGTCTTCACATCCTAAATCATCGCGACTTGAGCATGGTGCGTGAGTGTAGCGAAGCTTGGCGAACTAGAGAGGTAACGATCGTTCAAATGCCCAGTTGTATAACTTAGTGATGGGTGGCTCGCTTCCCAAACACAGAACGCACATTCTAATCGCCGTATGTAACGGAAGATAGAGTGGGGATAAGAAGTGGCGAAATGAACTGTCTCGCATCTACACGGGACATAACGTCGGATGACCTTCGTGTCAGAAGTGTTTGCAAGCATGTATTCCCGAAAGTACTCGCAAGAAACGTTGCGACCAAGAGTTGGTAGAGTAGCAATAGACTTTGGGCTTGAACACAGCCCATTCTGACGAACAATACACGGTCAATCTAGAAATTATTGATAAGTAGAGCCTCTAAAGACGTTAATGTCATTCTGTAGAGGAAAATGTTGGTAGCTCATGTAGCGTTGGCTTGTTCGGGACAACCACCAACCTACCGCTACGCACAACTACGCTCCCAATAACGCACTGATGATGATGTCACCTCGATTGACGAAACGTCTGCAATCAAATTGCCCAGCTCAGCGAACAAGCCAACGACCATCTACACTAATGTCCAAGGGTTCCACGGTGTCTTCGAGAGCCAGAACCAACCAGTTCAACACCCCTCTCTAAGGTCCGAATCCCAATTACTGACAGTACCAGTGTGGGAACGGTGGGGCCTACCACCCGGAAGACAGCTTAGTAAATGGCTCAGAAAAACGGGAGATGTGTCCTACACCCAACAAGCTACTAAATAATTCGTTTCCAGGGTGGTCAACCCTGGGGTTCGGTCGCCACAGGTGCCTTCATATTAATTAATCGTTCGGCTGTGGCATCCTTTCGATTCACAACTACCGTACACGTCGAAGGAAGCATGGAGGAGTGGTTTTTGCCGGGTTGCTCAGAGTTACACAGAAACAGACGAAAAACTAGGGTCAGGTTCGAACCAGGGACCGTCGAAGTTTAATAGCATGGCTATCTCAAGCTTTCAAATCAGTTGTCGACTGTCTTTCTGATAACGCCCTAGAAAATACATGTTAGTGTCATTAGAAATCAACCATTGTGAATCCGACCTAAGTAGACCGGTCACTGACAGTGGCTTCCGAATGAAACACGAATTTGCGAAAAGAATAAACCCTTCATAGGGTGCTATGTGGTGAGTAAAATTAGTCTCTCTAACTGAACTGAGAGGTGCTTTTGAAGCTCTTGGCGGCCAAACAACGGGAAAAGTATACAAAGCAGTATACAGCGACATGTATTTGAGAAAAATCAAGTATGGTCGAATAACAAAAGTAACTGATAAATACATCATAGTATGTGTGTTATTATGCCTGGCAAAAGGGTTCTCACTCCTGTGCGAATACAGAGTTTGGAGGATCACAAAAGAGCGTTCAGAGATGAGAAAGTGCCCCTGGTCGATAGTTGGCATGCAAGCTGGGCTTGATGTCCATTACAAGACTCATCAGTAGATCAATCGCATCTTCCTTGTGTAGCTTGACCGACGCAGATTGAGTGGCGATGATTTCGTCGGTGAGCTTCTTGATCTGGGCTTCAATCTCCGAACGTCGACCAAGTACCTAAGTGACAAAAAAGGAGAGTTATAGGTAATCCTATGAGTAGTGTGTTCTGTCAAGATAATCTAACTGTTGGTACTGGCAATGGACAGAGATGGTGGTGCACAAAAACGTTGAAATTCAACCGTTCGTTTGAAGATAAATCATGTTTGGAGCATTTTGGATTGCTCTTGGGCCGCTATCAGGAGCTGTTAGCTTTTTTCCCGCTGACTGACCAGAAAAACTTGCAAGTGTTGCACGGCGACGAAGCGTCAATTTCAACAACACTTCAGACGGATGCGAAGCTCGAAAAAATGACCCGAACATCTTACCGCGATTCTCCAGTGCAGTAGTCGTATCAGCTGACGGACGAGTCCCGCCCCCGTTAACTGCAGTGGTAATTCCAATTCAGTGACACAAACAGAGAGATGGAAGCGATGGTAGGAGGATGGTGAGGGTGACACCCCTTCGAAGATAGTTTGCACTTCTTGCTGAGTGTCCAGACCGGGTTGAAATGACCCAGGACTGATCTTAATCGCGCCCTTGCCATTCATTATTCGCATTACTCAACCGCACGGTCACACAGTTGATTTTCTTTCTGGGTATCTTTCCTTGGAGTACGGTATAGCCCTCATAGTGCAAGAAACTACAGAAGTGGCAGTCGAACGAGGATGATCTTCCTAAATTCTTTTATATTATGAGGGTTCTACATCCATCCTTTAGTGGACGCATATAGGTTCACGGAAAACTTCCATCTTAGTTCACCACATCCAGTGGTGTTAGGCACGAATGTTCCCCGTCGCCTTACTTCACTAACACCTCGGGGCGTTCACTTATGGACATTGAGCGTGTCAAGGATTTTGCTATCCTTGGATCAGACGCCCTTAGAAATGTAAACTGTCTTGAGTAACCTAAATAATTTCGCCTCACAGGTTGGTACGCGCTTCGCAGTTGTACGGTACTGTTACCAGATTAGATGGGATCAAAAGCAAACCCGATACTTGCAGGTAAACCGATCGATGAGGTAGGTGAATTCGTCTATCCGGGTAGCTGCTCAAGTTCAGGCAGACTGGTGAAAGACGAAATCACTTCCCGGATAGAGAAATCTAGGACAATGTTTTCGGGACCGATATGACATCAGATTGACTTGTCACGGTCCGAGCTCGACGGTCGCTGAGCGTCGGCCGACTGTAGTGCATTGCAAGTGGTCTTTGACATGCTTTCCTGACTTGTAGCTCACGAAACTATTCCAGTGCTAAATGTGAAGCTCGTTTCTCAAGTTTACCAAGAAAGCTTAAAAGGTTGAAATGTGTAACCCGTTTTCACAAGTTCATCAGCTATCGGATTGAACAACTGATTGGTCCTGAACGGTTTTATCATCGTTCCAACACCATGTCAAACCGCCAGGTCGAAACGAAAGCATACTCGGTTTTCAAATTTAGTGAAGGGGTTCTATCTAGTAGCTGAAACTTTCGACCATCATTTAGCACTGTAACAATTTCTCTAAAATAAAGTTTGCTTGTTTATGAATATGTTTATGTATTAAAGTGAAGTCGTATTTCGATGCGTTCTTCCGAAGCGCAAAAACATGTCGTCTGTTGGCTGCACAATTATCACTAAGCAGAATTACAAGTAGAACATAAGACTGACGAAAATTCGAGGAGGGCGCATATCTGATGAGCCCCGAAAGGGGCGAAACCGGCCGTGGGTTGTCGAAGAGTTCTCAATAACTTCATGACTAGTGTGTTAGTGAGTGATTTTAGTACCGGTACCAACTGAACTTACAGAAACTAGTTAGTTGGACAGAATTTCAACTGAGGCAGGAATAAAGTTTGATAAATTCTCTCACTGTGATAACTAAACATGACCTTGCACTTTGATCGCCAAAATGAGGAGATTCCCATTTCGAAGCCAGAACAACTCGACACTAGACTGGATGGGCTTTCGCACAGTTGTTTCAGGGAATGAAATGGTACAATAAATCAAACGAACAGGAGTAGTGAGTTCCTTTCGTTTAGATTTAACTCAGTCCATAGCCTAGACACAGACATTTGATGAAACACCTTGAAAGTGTAGTGTGGCTGAAAGATAGGTAAAAATTAAGCATAACTTGGTGTCTACTGGTTTTTGTTCGGGTCTAGCTAAATGAAAAACACTCGTTCATACAGGTCTAAATAAGTCAACACAGATCGACCGTATTGCACTGGTATGAATCCGCGATTCTAATTTCCCATCTATTGAAAAACACCTGAGACAAAGGAAATCACATTCGTCTGATAGAGAATGCATTCGACTTTGTTCACACTGGTCACCGTAGCACGAAAAAAATATTCCATCGAGATATTGTGAAATCTTTCGGTGGCGACTCCTTGAAGAGTGGAGTACCGTACTTTCCCGCACGACAAGATGAATTATCTATCACCTGCTGGACAGCGCCCTGTAGCGAGTTTTAATTGTTCTGGATGCTAAGAGATTGCTTATCGGCAGTAGAAACTATACGGAGGATCCGACTTAAATGAGTCTCTATGATTGTACGCAACTTTGCACAGCGTTCGCCAATACTAGTGATCACACGGCTGGACAGACCACGTACAGTACATAATAGCGATTGCCATGCCACCCGAAGGTTGTACGAGGGCTGGGATACTGCCGGGTTGCCCAAGCCTAGACAAGGGAAATCGGGTTCGAAACACGGACCTTCCAGTCAGTGAATTCGCGCTCTAACCAACTGGGGAATCTCGCGAAATGGTGCAACCTTCGAGTGGCACGGTAGTTAGGCACCGAAAGGGTGCTACAGCTGAATAATGGTAATTGAGAGTGGATTCAATCGATAACTTTAATACCACGGTTGCAAAAACTGAAAATGAATGACCTCCAAGTCAAGCAATGTGGCTTCGTTTCAAAAAAGTCTAGATGTTCGATGTTGATTGCTGGACAACAGTCTACTTTTGACATAAACGCCAAGCCAGGTTAGGTGGATAAGTTACTATCTTGGTAGAGGGACATTTCCGCTAGAATGCACTATGGACGACACAAGTTAAACTGGTTATACGAAAATAGAAACATGAAGGAAAGATGAAACTTCCTCACGTACGCGCTCTTCTATCATTTTGAAATGGCGTTCCCTCTCTGCACGCTCTGCGTCAATTTCCGCCTGCGCTTCGATTTTGGCCTCTTTCAGTCTTTTGGCCTTTCCTGGAGTGGTGGAAAGAGAGAGAACGAACAACTCAAGAATACCGTAGTTTGGAATACCCTATGGAACGTTGAGGACATAGTCCATAGCAAATTATATAGGCATAGAGAAATAAGTAGTCGATCCCCGCTTGAGATAGAGAAGAAGGGGATGGTATCTCACCATAATTCCAGGTATGCCCAACTGTATGTACATGAGGTGTTTTAGAATAAGTAAATTCGTCCGGATTCCACTGCCCGATGGGTAATCTGAGACGGCAGGGGAACGACTGAAGGTGTGCGTGGGCAACTGAGTCAGAGTACACAAAATGTAGGGCACTATTAACAGAGCTCAGCAATTATTTTCATATCAAAGATAGCAACGTCAGTGATGACACTGCTTCAGTAGCTTACAAAAGTCGTTAGGCTATGAAATTCTTTTGGAACATATCTGACGTGCGATATGTGAAAAGCTGCGGCACTGCTGGGTTGCATAAACCTTGATAGGTACAGCCAAAAAGCCAGGGTTGGATTCGAATCGCAGACAGAACTATCGTACCATAGTAACCCTGCTACCTTGAGCTCGTTAGGTTACAACCACAGGGTAACTAAGACAGTGAAGTAAAAAGGAAAGAGACTTCGATGGTGCACGAAAACCGGTTTCAAATACGCGGACGTCCAGATGCGCTCAGAAGACGTGTACCAAAAGTGACGTCGTGAACGCTACTTCGATTGGTGGATAGGTCAAGCAGAGAAATGGCTCAAGTGATTAGAGCGCGAATTTACTGACCGGAAGGTCCGTTGTTCGAACCCGACCTCTGTCTCTCGACTTCCCTGTCCAGGCTTGGGCAACCTGGCAGTACCCCAGCCCTCGTGCTTCCTTCGGGCAGCATGGCAGCTAGGCACCGGAAAGGTGTTAAAGCTGAACGATTTTTTCAAGCAGAGAAATGGCTGGCAGAATCCTTGGTGAGAGGTCGGGACTTCGATTTACTCTCGGAAACGTCATCTCGAACAGTGGGCTGAACACTGAAAAGCAGTTCAGCTGGCCCTTATCAACTCAACACGTGAACCCGAAAGAAAGTCTGGGGTGCAATTTCAATGCACCAGCATAACAAAGCACCTGGTCCAGATGCTCTGCTCTTCAAAGACGGTGGAGGTCCTAGTAACTAATCTGACTACTATGAAATATCTTAAAGACAATACCGATAGAATGGAGCACCTCAGCAGTGGTCCCCATATTCAGAAAAGGTACATGAGTGTGCGGAAGCCACTCAGTCATCAGTCTAGTGATCATAGCTCTCAAGGAGCCCTCTGGTGCTATCCTATTCAGTTTCGTCCATCATCAGGAGAGTCGGATTTATCAGAATGTTACGAAGATTGCTCTGCCTTGTTCAAAGGCATTCTTGCTGTCCAATTCGATAGAGTATGGACGTTGAGAGCAGTAATATGGAACAGATCTTTTGAAGCCCACAAAGGTATACTTTGATTCACCTTACCGGACAAAATTTTAGATACAAAGCATTAGTTATGTGGTTGACAGCCAAATAACTCAAGAGAAGTTGGTTGAGGGGTGCAAGGGGTGGTGGTGAATGGAGTGAGTGGGAATGATAAGTCACGATTACCCAGGTTAAGGACGTTTTGTTGTAATGTCCAACTTTGATCCTTCAACTCAAAAGTTTGTACGACCCTCCTTGCAACCAACGACTTAGCGGTCTGACTCGCTTGGTTGTGGAAGGCTCGTCCAGCCGAAGTTCACAGAAGGATTTGGATGTCTCACTGTTGTTGCCGCTGCGCACAACAGATGCATTTGGAGCCGTATCACACCCATGGAAAAGGTTGTTTTTTATCGTAATGGATAATTCGATGGCGGTCACGGTCAACCATAGGATGATTGGAGTATGCGTCTGGTAGGGCTGACCTTTTCTAACCTCTCCTCCCTCAGGCAATCGAGGGATTGCCTTATTGCCTTGTGAAGGATTATACGGCTTCACCTCAAGCCCATCATATGACACGACTTCTTGCAGCGAAGGGACCCACTGTTCTTCATCCAACTGCCCCCACATTGGCCTCCCTGGCATGGCTGGAATTTAGGGATCTGAATTCCAGCCATTGTAGTGGGCAGGATAATTTTAGCAAGACCATCGCAAGGTGACAGCTTTCGGTCGGGGAGAAATTCCATAGGAATAGAGTAGAACTGCACCCACGGTCGTTTTGTCGGCATGACCCCTTGAGCTTGGTGATATTCGCTTCTAACATACGTGACGCAAGTTGGCAGGCACTACTCGTTACTGATGAAAGCGTTCAAACAAGTGGACCTATAAGTAAAATCAAGCTCTTCATTTTAAAGGGAAAATGGGAGTGAGAAGTCCTGATGATCTTGGACTCCGATGCACATAGAGGCATCGAACCATTTTCGATATTCTACTGAATAATTGGTGCGGATGCATGGTCATTTAACAGAACAAGTTCACTCACACGAACTAAGCTTGTGCTCAACAATAATCGTTTAGCTGTAACATCACTCCAATGCATTAACCAGTCGGCTATTTCGATTTCTATCTTTCCCCAGGTGTGATTTCGATATTTAGATTCGCGGCTTCGTGGAGCGATGAGGCTTCATTAAGGTCCTTTGGATTTGGGTGAATTTTTGGTTAGCTCCTTGTAAGCCTTAAGGCAACAGGGAACATGGACATTCCTTTTTGAAAAGTATACATAGGAGACTCAACCAATCCATGAAGTCAAAGATTCCTATAAAGTAAAAGCAAGCCGTAACAAATGGCCGGCAATCTGCGTCATGCTGCGCAATTACCTGGCGATTACGTGTTCAATGCGCCCCCATCTAGTGTTCTCAGGTTTGCTTCCGGCGTGATGAGGCAATAATACGGGAGCTGGAAGCTGTTGAAACTAGTCTAATACTTATGTTCCTTTGGTTGGAAATCGCTTCAGTTAAGTCTTCTCAATAAAAGCACAATCATTCTCTGTCCCCAGATTGCCAAAAATTAATCCGACTTTTAAATAAGTTCAAACAGCAAGGCAAAGCACGAGTTATCGCCCTCTTTGGACAAATAATAATAATAATAATAATAATAATAATAATAATAATAATAATAATAATAATAATAATAATAATAATAATAATAATAATAATAATAATAATAATAATAATAATAATAATAATAATAATAATAATAATAATAATAATAATAATAATAATAATAATAATAATAATAATAATAATAATAATAATAATAATAATAATAATAATAATAATAATAATAATAATAATAATAATAATAATAATAATAATAATAATAATAATAATAATAATAATAATAATAATAATAATAATAATAATAATAATAATAATAATAATAATAATAATAATAATAATAATAATAATAATAATAATAATAATAATAATAATAATAATAATAATAATAATAATAATAATAATAATAATAATAATAATAATAATAATAATAATAATAATAATAATAATAATAATAATAATAATAATAATAATAATAATAATAATAATAATAATAATAATAATAATAATAATAATAATAATAGGCACCTCAATCCGAGAAAACATTCAGCATCATCGACTACGATGGCTCGGTGATGTGCTACGCATGCCGAAACACCGTCTACCGAGACGAGTGTTGTCCTCCGTGCCTCCTTCAGGATGGCACAAGCCGCGAGGTGGACAGCGCATGAGTTGGCAGAAAAGGGTGAAAGAGATCAGTGTTTGGGTGTTGTTGTACGGCTTCCAGGATGGGGTCCCCGTGACCCCACCTGTGCTTCGTTGGAAACATTGCAAAAGATGGCGGCTAACCGATGTCAGTGGCGTTCGTGTTGGCAGTTTCTTTTCAGACTGTCTGATTGAACGCTTGAAGGTGTATGCACCTGAGAACGCTTGACATAGGTCTCACCCACTCTTTTTCCCTTCTGTTCACTGTAGGGCTTTAAATATAATTAAACGAACCTTATGGTTGTACGGCAGTGAAGCATCGGTGGCAACACTGATGTTGCTGTCTTTGATGATTGATGATGATGGTGATGATAACCATTCAGCTTTAACACCTTTTCGGTGCCTGGCTGCCATGCTACCGAAAGAGGCACGAGGGTTGGGACACTGCCAGGTTGCCCAAGCCTACACAAGATAAGCAGAGCCAGAGATCAGGTTCGAACCACGGATCTTTCGGTCAGTAAGTTCGCGTTCCAAACACTGAGCCATCCCGTTCCAGTATGTGGGAACAGATGTCTCAACGCAACCAGGTGCATCAATCCCTCAGAGACTGAGGGAGGACCTGAAGTCACAGACTAAGCCACTAAAAAGTGGACAGCGGCAGAGTTCACTTGATAACATTAGTTATAAACCATGTACCAAAGGCAAGTTGTTTCCAGCTGTTACTTTCAGTCACCAGAAAGTGGGAGGGCGTGGGAGATACAGCCAAGCATTGAAGAGTGTAGATGGTCAACCAAACCCTCGTCCGAAAAATCCAGTTAAACGGCTAAGATGCTGGTACTCTCATATATCTATCGTTTCATCGACAACATAACATCAACGTTCAACAATGATGCTTCGCTACCGTGCAACCACAACTTATTTGAAAGTCATACTGTGAAAGTAATAAGTAGGTGGGGAAGAGACTTACTGCTACATTACCACAATCATTCCGTGCCTACATCTCCAGACAATCACAGTCTGGGTGGAAGCTGACAACAAGAACGTCACTGACATCGATTAGCAGCCATATATTGTTGCGCCATCAACCTGTCACAGTTAGGATGGCACAGACCTCATCCTGGAGGGAGAGTCGCAGTGACAGTACAGACTTTTCGTGATCTCTTTCATATTCCTCTTCCAGACCAAAGGTTAACCATCCCTATGCTTGCACCACTCTGGGCTGGGCACGGAAAACAACACAGTTCAGCAAACGATGGTTCGGCAATACATGGTCTGAACAACGCAGCTTCTGGCAGTGGACAGATTCGTCGATGGAATTCCCGCATCGCTG